CTCCTTTCAACCCCTCGTCCCCTCATTTAAAAAAGCTTTGTTCTCATTTTTTCTTCTATTCTTTTTCTTCTCTCTTCCTTTCCTCCTCCTTAGTTCCCCTTCACCTTTGAATATTTTCTTCCCATTTCCCAATATCCATTATACATTTTGGTCCTTATCTATACTTTCAGTTTCTCACACCAGAGAAACAATACAGTACTTACACACGTACGTACTCTTATTTCACTTAAGATATAGTCTCAAGGTGCATCCATTTAGCTAGAAATTTCTCAAGCTTATTTTTTATTTCAGAGTAGTACTCCATTGTATATATTTAAAAAAAAACCACACATCTTCATTCATCATTTGATAGGCAATTGGGCTGTTTCCAAGCTTTAGCTATCACAAATAGCTATAAACATGGGTGAGCATATATCACTGCAGTATGATGCTTTTAATTCTTTCAGGAAGATACCAAGACAGGAAATAGCTGGGTCAAATGGAACCTCTAGTTTTAATTTTTGAGGAATTTCCACACTGATTTCCACAGTGGTTGCACCAGTGTACACTCCCACCAACAGTGGAGAAGGGTCCCTTTTCCCCACAGCCTCGCCAGCCAGCATTTGTTATTGGCTGATTTCTCGATAACAGTGAGATGGAATCTGAGAGTTGTTTTAATCTGCACCTCTCAAATGACCAGTGATGTTGAACATTCTTTCATATAGTTATTTGCCCTTTCTCCTTCTTTGCCTGAGAAGTGTCTGTTCGTTTCAGATGCCTGTTTTGGGACTGGGCCTTTAAATCGCTAGTTTTGTGGTTTGATTGGCTCTGAAACTCTCAGAGACCTTCTTCCTCCAGGTTCCCTTCTGCTGAATCCTCTCTTTCCTCCTCGCCCAGAAGAGGAGGCAGGCAGACCTCAGAGCAGGCAGGGCAGGAGCTGCTTCTTCAGGCTCCTCTCAGAACCGACACTCCACAGTGTACGTCTCTCCCCAGAACTGGTCCTTCTTCCTCATAGCTAACATGTTGTGAGCCCTGGGCCACCACGATCTGTGGACAGCCCTTCCTGGAGGATTGGTGTCATCATGGGCCACCCTTCCACTGAGGCCTCTCTTTGCTTGTTAACCTCTAAGTGCTGCCAGATTTCAGGAAGCAGAAATTATCTGGGTAGGTTCCCCATGGCACACCTTTTCTCTGGTTTGGATTGGGGGTTCATGTAAACCAGAGAGCCAGCAAAATTCTTGGGCACTGGATAGAGAGATGGCGGGCAGATGGTCATGACCACTGCCCCCGTTACAGACACCAACATGGCAGGGGAACCACCACCCCTGACCCAGGCAGGGGCCAATGTGCTCACAAGCCCAGTGGGTGGGGTGGGGGCGGGCAACAAATCTTTCAGAAAGCTGCTTGGGAATGCTTTATGGCACAGAGGGTTACACCGCTCTAGCTGAACAAATGGAAAAATTAGTCTACCCTAAAATATCCAAGGCAAGTAATTTCCTGTCACCTTGTTTCTTAAATGCGCTTAACATCCAGAAGCTGGGCCTCCCAAAATATGGCTAAGGGTCAGTAGTTAAAATGGCAACTCGGAGATAAAAATCTTCCACTTTAATGAGCGCTCATAAATTGATGCCCTTGGCCCCTCTGTCTGGCAGCGGAGTTGGAGCTGAACCACACAATGTTCAGTGTGCAAGAACTGAAGGGGTTCGAAGCAGCCACAGAGCAGGATGCCGGCCCTGTCCACCGAGAGGATGCCCGAGGCTGCCCATCTCGAGCTGCTGTTATTTCCCTCTTGTTAGAACAGTTTGCTTTTCTAGCTCCTTCTCTAAATTTCCAACTATTAAAGTGAGCTGCGGATGCCGACAAGAATGAATCAGACCCACCCTCCCTCTCTCTCTCTTTCTCTCTCTTTTTGTTTTCTTTTCCTCTTCCTTGAATTGCTTTGCTCTTTTTTCCCTTGATTACTCATCCACTCATTCATTCATTCCATTTCTTCAACAGAGACTGTTTAAAGACTGAGGATGGGGATTAATGCTAATTCCTGGGGCTGCAACAGTACACACATGAGATTCAGCCTGCAAACTGCTGCCCTCAGGGTTAGGGCTGCCACACAAGCGCCAGCTGAGGGGCACAGTGGGACTCTGTGGGCATGACTGGGATGGGCACCCAAAAGCTGGCAAAGGCTCTATTTGGCCTATGCCCTCAAAGATGAATTGGAGCTTGCAGAAGTCAAGGAGAAGAATGTTCCAGAACACATGGCATAGCAAAGGGGAAACCAGCACAAATATGAGGGGAGAACTGGCATGGATAGGGCTGGAGAGATCCGCAGGGGACATGTCACAAGGACAAAGAGGTGCCCTGGGTCCGGAAAGTGCCGGATGGAGCAGCAAGTAAAATGAACAATCCAAAAAAATGCAGCAAACTCAAACAGCAAAACCCTCAAAGGGCGAACCCCTTCTCTGCCACCCAGTCCCAGGCAGCTCTGAATCAGGGTTTCCCCAAGGCTGGTACCACCATCCAGCGAGGAATCTGGCCTCTGTGTTAAGGATGGGGGCTGAGCTGGGGGGCGAGGGACTCACAGGGGACTGAAGCCAGCCCTGTAACTGAGTACATGGGAGACCACACAGCATCTCCAGAGCTCAGTGCAATTTCAGGGTTTTTTGTGTTTTATTTTGTTTTGAGGAGGAGAGACCAGTTGCTGAGTGAGAGGTCTGCTAAACACTAGCATGCCTTCCCTGCACCTTTTGCAGGCAAACTACTTCACAGGCCATGAAACGAGCCACTAAATTCTAACCCTTGGGTGAGCAAACAAAGTTAATAAATGTATCTTGCTGCAGAAATAGAAAACCAGTGCCCAAGCCAATCAGGACATTCAGACTGTGACAAGTAAGAGGAGTCTTAGGCTCCATGTGGTGTTACACACACACACACACACACACACACACACACACACGTGTGCAAGTGCCTGCATAAGTACGCCCACAAACACACACGTGCAGACACACATACATGGTTACGTCTTCGCTGTCCTCGAAATACCAGTTGCCAACATCAATCCCTAAAATTTCTCATGCTTAAAAGATAAAATTATGAGAAACAACCCGGAGGTGAGGATGAGAGGTATTTAAGAAAACCAGGGTCAGGGGTAGGCTCAGAATGACAAAAGATAATAGAAAAAAATCAGCCAGCCAAAAAGAACCATGAATCCCTAAGTCACACCTTCAAACTGTTTCAGTGAGTTTATAACATCTCCCAAATTTCTCTAGTGTTGTCAACAGCTTAAAGAAATGACTGCACACATTTCATTCTCTAGAAAACTTTGCTTTGCTGTCACTGCTGGAGGAAGTGACTAAGAAGGTCTGGCCTTTAATTACTGACCAACACCTAGGCTGCTGAACTGGAATCCTCGTAATGATGGCTAAAACCACATACAAGGCTGATTAACCTGTCTGGTGTTAATTAAAACCTTTCCTGGGATCCTCTCTCACTCCCTATTTTATGACCAGAGAAGCTAATTTTTTTTAAATTATGTTAAGTCTAAGACGTTTAAGAAAAAAATTAGAAGGCAGACAGGATGAAGAAAAGGCTATGTAAGGAAGGCTTCTGTCTTCACCCATTTCCATTATTATAACAAAACACCCAAATCTGAGTACTTTATAAAGTAAAAAGGCTTACTTAGCTGCTGGTTCCAGAGGTCCCAAAAGCACAGGCTTCTGGTGAGGGCCCCATTGCTGTGTCACAACATGGCAGGTGATATCACGTGGTGAAGAGGCAGAGAGGGCTGGAAGGATGAGCCATGTGTGTGGAACAGCTCACATGGAGACAGACCATCCTTCTATTTTTTTTCATAACAACTGGCTCTTACAGGAATGAATACACTCCCGGGAGATCTATCCCATCCTGGGTGACCATTTTAGTCCCTTCATGAGGGTGGTCAGGACCTAGTCACCCTCTCAGGGCCCCATTGGTTCTAACTCCTTTTAATATTCTTCCATTAGGAGCCAATTCCCAGCACCTTTGTCAAGGATACACCATATCCAAACTACAGCATCTTCCCAGTGGAATATATGCTCTTGGCCTGGCAGGAAGCACCAAGTCCTCTGATCTGCTATCAGAGTATTCTCTCTAGACAATGCTGTGCAGTTTCTAAAGAGCGAGCATCTTTCAAAATGGCTCCTTCCAATAACCAACAATTCCCAGCAAAAATGAAAGTCACCGTCATCTGTCAAGGAATTTGGTAACATCTCAAAAACATTTCCCCAGAAAGCTCCCCTGAACCCCCACACAATATCATTTTCTTGAGTCAAAGTCCAATGCCATCTCTTGCAAAAGCTGCCTCTGGCAAGGAGTTGGAAATAAATCTATCTTGGCAAAACAGGAAATTATTTCAGGGGACAGAATTAAACTTCGGCAGTTTTTCTTCCCTTTCTCAATTGTACTTTTGTTCATAGCTTCAGCTGGGAGAAAGAGTGCACACATTTAGTTTGGAGTTTATGAGTTCATATTTTATAATTAACGTTGCCAACAGGGGAGTTTGATTAATACCAAGCAGTGGATTTTGAGCAATGTTCCATACAAATTGCCAAATTTAGCAATAAAATAAATTGGTTATGTGAACATAATTAGTAGGATGACTACTTAAAATTCAAAACTGAATGTGAATAATTCCAAATCATCTGAGCCACAAATCCATTATTTGTATAGAAGGGGGGAAAGGATAGCATTTGAGTTTTATTTCACCCTCCACCACAATGTTATTCGCCACCAAGCTGAACATCATGAAACTTCTACAGCGGTTGCGACAATATTTTAGAGCAACCCAGAAACACACACAGATTGGCTTGCATACACACCCACACAAAAGGGATATAATAAAGATAAGACGCACTAAACTGCGTTTTCATTGCACATGTAAAAATCTCTAACAAAATTTTCAGCAAATGCCCCATTCCGATCTTCTGACATGCCCTACAGAGACTGCTGACACATTAGCAGAGCTCTCTTCCTTTATGCATCCACGGTACCTTATTGTCGCCCTGGACTTCTGCAAGCCTTTGCTGAAGTTCTTTCATTTCTTCTCCCAGATGTTTATTTCGTTCCTGAGAATCTCTCAAAAGTTGTGCAAGATTGGCCTGGAAACATCAACACAGCATAAAACACAATCAGAAATGCAAGAGTAGATAAACGTGGGGCTGAATCGGGCTGATGCGGGTGCCCTGGCCCAGCTGAACCCATGAACCCATCAGAGTAAACACATCTGTGCGTGCAGCACAATGGCTGAACTCACGGCCATCCTCCTGCCTCAGCCTTTGAGCGCAGGACGCACAGACATATACAAGCATGCCCAGATAATGCCCAGAATCCTGATCCCAATTTTAAAAGGCAGCCAAAGAAGAGGTTGGTGATGTGCAGAAAGTTCCAATGTCCAGGTCCAGAGGTGACTCTTCAGTCTCCTGGGGTGGCTCCCACCACCTCGTTCCCTATTCTCGCCCCCTTGGTACCCAAGGACCACATCACCGCTTAGCCTTCCCATCTCCATGATGCCACCCAGAGCGGAGGCTCTTCAGCCCAAGTGGTGGCCCCTTACCCACCCTGTCCTTGCAGCTTCTTCCCACCACCGCCAGTCACAGCATCTGCTGGAGGCCCCTTCCTCCACTCCCGCCTGGTCTCTGGTTTCCGGGAATCCCTGCTGCCCACAGCTGCACGCTGACATCCATGGGGGCAGCACACCTGCCCTTCCATCTCCGCCCCGTGCTTCCTCCTCCGTGGTGTCACCTATGCTCATCCTCTCCTGGCCAATTCCATGTCACCTAACTGAACGGGGATAGTTCCAGCGACCAGAAAGCAGAGCCTGTGTTTGCCCCTCGCTCATTTCCACATGCGTGGCTCCAAGTCCATGTGGACCCAGCGCAGGAAGGAGAAAGGAAGCAAGCAGGTAATTGGACCCCTAGAAAAGGACTGGGCTCCGTGGTGCACGCCTAGAAACCCAGCTCCTCAGGAGGCTGATGAAGGGAGATTCTAAGTTTAAGACCAGCCTGGGCAACTAAGTGAGACTCTGCCTCAAAATGAAACAAAAAGGGCTGGGATTTAGCTCAGAAATACTGCACTTGTCGGGCATGAATGGTGATCTTGGTTTAATTCCCAGTACTGCAAAAAACAAAAACAAAAACACAGGTTTTTGGTAGGCAGATGGTCTTGTGCTCCACAGGTGGTTTGGAAACCCAAAGATCACCTGGGCGAGTGCCTGGGCTTGGGGCAGGCAGGCAGTCAGCTGTTGGTGGTGTATGCTGGCTCCTGGGTTGGCTGGGAGGCCACTGAGGAAGAAGATGGGATCTCGAAGGTTGTCCATAAACCCCGCTGTGGTATAGCCGTCCTACCCACACCCAGAAGTTAGGGAACTGGTCCACCCACAGCGCTCAATCCCCACAGACTTCAGGCTGACACCTCGGGGACCACTCAGTTCTGTCGGGTACCAGAAGAGGACAAAGAGGACGGAAGGGAAAGATGAAACCTGGCTCCTCTCGCCTCTTCCCCTTCTCACTCCTCAGACCGCATGGGTGGGGGTGTCCTGTCATCTCCCCAGGTGGCTCACGCTCACCCCCTTTCATTCCCACACACCTCAGCGCAGGTACTGTCCTCTTTCCCTTCCGCCCCAGCCCCAGCCCTTCCCGGGCCTCTTTCAGGCCCTCACATGGAAGTCACCATCCAACAGGGCCCACCTGGACCATCTGATTTGACACGGCCCCTTCCCCTCGTTACTGTCCCTGTTTTCCAGAGCGCGTGCCATCTTTTAACGTACCATAGAATTTCCTTCACGGTTTACTGCTTACTGTTTATTTCCTGTCTCGCTCTCCTTGCTAAAATATAAGTTCCATGAAGGGCAAGGAACTTCATTCTCTCTACTGATCTCTCTGGAACACCTGGAAGGTGGCCCGTAAATATTATTAAATTATTATATTATAAATTATTAAATTATTATATAAATATTATTAAAACAAGAGACAGGGAGCCGTCGGGAGGTGATGGTCTCACCCTACAGGGGGTCTGCATAAACAGTCACAATGCCGAGGACCGAAATCAGGGCCCAGCACCAAGTGTGGCGAGGGAAAAACACTCGTCCCTGAGGCTGGATCAGCTCCGCTCATGAACCACAAGAGCTACTAGACAACGCAACCCAGTTTTCCAGCCCCGTATTTGTAAAACTCATCTGTAATATTTGAATTCCAGATTTCCCAGGTTTCTGTTCTCGTCAGATAAAAAGGTGGTGCTGGAGAGGAAAATTAATCCCCATTAAACAACGCTCAGTGAAGACACATCTAAGCGGACTGAGAAGGACTAAGTTGCCTCCAGTCCTGCCACTCACTGGGCTGGGCGACCTTGCGTGAAGTCCCTCACCTCGAGTGTCCCCTTCTGTACAGTGACACGAACGACGCACATGGCACGTGGTGACCTGACCCATCATTTCACTAATGAACACAGAGTACTTCTCCTGGGGCTCGCACACGGCAGGGGCCGGCTAAGGGCTGGTCACCTCCCTTGACTGTGTCCTTCCCAGCTGCAGTCCAGCACTGTGGACAGAGTCATGTAGATGTGACCTTGGATACGGTTGGCTCCTTTGTGAGCCCGTCCCTTCCCCTTCTCTCTTTTATACAACAAATATTGACTAAGTGTCTACTATGTGCCAGGCACTGTTTAAGCTCCAGACATAGAGCGGTGAACAATATGGACAAAACCCCTTGCCCTTGTAAGCTTATGTCTAATTGATCGCACTAAGTTACTTACATTATATTACAATAGAGTAAATAGACTCAGGACGCTGGGCACGAAGGGCTCTGGACAGAAATAAAGCAGTAGAGGGAATAGGGTGCATGGAGGAGACAGCCACATTTCAACCAAGACTCCGAAAAGGAGAAAGGGCCTGCAGCCAATCAGGGGGAAAGTTCCAGGAGAGGAAATGGCAGACGGGCTTCCGCCTGTCCTTCTGCCCCAACTCACCACGGGTGTCCATTTGGAGAACAGCTCAGACCCAGAGGCGGGCTGGCTCCAGGGGCCGCACTGAAATCTGGAGGTGGCTTGATTTTTGCCTGACATCTCTCGGTTCCCTGCCTCCCACCCACAGCTCTCCCTTTGGAGTACAGGTGTCAAGGAGCAACCTGTCTGTCCTTCCCAGAACTCCAGAACGTCCCCAGACGTTAGCTCTCGGATCCCGTCCTGTAGGAGCACACACACCCCCTGCCACATGGAGGAACAGTGACAGGCAGGAGTGACTGTCCTGGGAAGGAGGCCCGGCCCACAGCCTGCTGTGGACAGATCTCAGCATTACCACCCAGGGAGAAGAGCAAGGTTCAGTCCCGCTGCACAGAGCAGGACAGAAGCTTCTGAGAGTAATGATGGAAACTAAGGAAAGGCTGAAAAAGAAAACAATTCTGCTACTTCCCTAACCTTCCCTTTTAGAATCAGTAATGGCTTACACCCCTCAGGGGTGGGAAGACCCTGGCATTCACTGACTCCACACACTAAACCCAAACAACTCAGTCTACCAGTCATCCTCCTCCTCCAATCCATCCCTGAGCAATACTTTTGCAAAATGTAACAAACAAGAATTACTAGAAAAATAAATTTAAGAAGACACCAAGATAAAACCCTAAGTGTTTGTTAAACTCAACAGATGGAAAACCATGTTGTCCAGTTGCTTTAAAAGACCCTGAGTGCTCACTTTCAATTTCTGTACCCATCTTGTCACAGATCAGAAACAGCAAGGTTGTAGCCTGATGCTAGGCCCCAGATCTCACTCTGAAAAGCATCCCAGCTCAGTGATGCCCTCAGCTTTCTGGCCACAGAGCAGGAAGTGGGCCAGACACCGAGCAGAAACATCAGTGGAAGATTTCAGAGAATCCTGGGGCACAGGGCTGGCTGCTGTAGGGAACATTGATTTAGAGGCCCAGGGCTGTGATTATCTAACGTTATTTACTCCACAGGCTGGCTGAAGAGAAATCTACCACGGTAAAGTCTCCATTGTCCACAAAACAACAGTCTGTTAACACCGCAGTGCCTGCACACTAGTTCATGGCAAATCTACCCCCACCCCACCAGCTTTAAACTTGACCGCTGGGGTACAGTGGGATGGGGGAGGAGCCACTACCTCAAAGCAGGTGACTGATTTTCTTTTACATTTAACAGGATGGACTAATTGTCAGCACACGCTTCTTTTCTCTTCAAGCCTTCCACCTCATCAACTTGAAAACAATAACTTTAAAAGCTAGAAAATGACTATTCTGATATGGTACCTAATTCCTTGACATATATCTTAAAGAACCCCCCCCCAAAAAAGAAGTAGTACATTTCTGAGTGCTCAGAATAGAGGAGGAAAGTTCACACAATTCTTCTGACCAAAAATAACACCCATGACTCACACACACTCACTCCACCAATCCATCAAGCAAATGTGCAGTGTCTGCTTAGAATTTATCAGCTATGCAGTGCGTCTTGCCTCCATGTTACTAAGAAGAACTCTGTGACCATCAGTTTAGAATAGCGGCGCTATGTCAAGGAAATGTCAGAGAAAAAGGTAGAGACTGCCTAGGACTGGACTGGGCTTTGCAAGAAAGGAAAACAGACCATGAGATTATTTCCTCGCCACCTTTGGGGCAGGGGCCAGCATCAATAGCAAAACAGGGAAAGCTTTAGAAAGAAGTCTCTTTTAAATATTTAAATCAACCCAGGGCCAACATAATAGAGGAATTCTGACCACAGCGGTAGATGCTTGGAGAGTATAAGTATAAGGTTAAGCTGAATTGTGAACTTTACCAGATTATGTGGTGACTGAATCATGGGGACGCTATACTCCTCAATGGATAAATCCACCAATGTTCATGCCTGGGTGGGCTGTCAGGACACAGTGCCCAAATGCGAAGGAAGCAGGACACTGAAGGTATGACTTTGAAGGGTAAATCCCTCGCTGGTGCTCTACCCTTGTGCCCTCCTTCCCAGTCACCATGAATTGAACAGTTATGCTCTACCACGCCCATCTGCTCTGCCGTTTCCGCCTTGGAGGCAGCCTGCCATGGACTGAATCCTCTGAAACCATGAGACAAAATAAACCATTTCCTCCTTTCAGTGACAGGTATCAGGT